GAACTTTTATTTTATAACAAAATTTATTGACCAAAAATGCCAATATTTACATATGAAGAATAGAATTATAAATACTATAAAAGTGTTAAGTGTGTCTATTCTGCAACCCCGTGTCTAAGACTCTTCAAAAGTTATTTCTGGATTGCATTGTTTCTTAAAAATTGGTAACATTTATAAGCACATGGCATGGTGAGAAATATTATGTCAAAAATATAAGGGACACAAAATAAATATGGATAGTTATTTAAGTGAAAATATTAACATAACTTAATTTGAATAAACAAATTAATCAAAGTGGCAGGAACTAAAATACAGAAATTATGTAAATAAATAATCATAACCACGGTACCGAACCGAACCGAACAGAACAGAGATCACAGGAGTGACAGTCAGAACAAAGGTCAATGAATTCATGACAATACAAAGATATGAATTCAAGAGGTGGCTTGTATGGATTATAGAGGCAGCTTTCACAATAGTGTAGCACTTAACTCCGTACAACACTTTGCTCCGTACAAAACAGATGTCAATAGATCCATGACAACAGAGGACCCCAAAGTGACCTATCAGTAGCCAATGGTTTATTTATGTCCCCCAAGGCATGGAACCTTCGTAATGGTACTTATAAAATAATTACTCAAAATACATTTTAAGAAATAGTTATATCTACGGGTTTTTCCTTAGTATGTAAAATAAGGTTTATAAAATAAATAACATAATTAAAATATAATTTACGTAAAATAAATTATAGTAACTTAAAATATACGTAAAATATATTATAGTAACTAAAGGTATAATATAACTCACTTGAAAATTAATACCTCACTCTTTATTTTTACTATTAAAGACCCTTTTGACTTCCAATATTTTCTTTTATGTTCTTTATTTGTTTTCTTTTTTCCTTTTGTTCATGACACCATCGCTCCTTTTATATTAAGATATCATATTTTCCTAGTAAGTTTTGGTGCCACATAGCCAAACACATAGCCCCTCTATCACTATGCAGAAACAGGGCATTAACGGCGGTAACGAAAACTGTTGTTAAAGGTATCATTAACGGCTAGAGATATACCTTATATACCATGTGATTTGATGCATCGATAAAGCCGTTAATGACGGCGGTCTTTGCCGGCGAAACTCCGGCGTGCTCCGGCGAAACTCCGGTGTGCTCCGGCGAAACCATCTACAATAAAGTAAAAGTAATGTTTAAATATTTATTTAGGGAATATATTTCATGAAGAGTGGCTATGGTAGAGTGGTTAGTGTGGGTGGATGAGAGGTTGAGGGTTTAAGACTTGGGGAGTGCAAGAAGAAAGAACTATTTTTTGAAAAATTTGAACCTATTTACGGCGGTAAAAAACCGCCGTTTTTGGTTTTATGGTACCGCCGTTTTTGGTCGACTTTTAATGACGGTAATTTACCTTTTTACGACGGTTGTACTTTTTCCGACACGCGCATAAACGACGATAACAAAACCGGCATAAACGACGAAAACAAACCCGCCGTTAATACCGCCGTTAAAGACTTTAATGGCGGTTTTACAGCCTTTAACGGCGGTAAAAAACTGCCGCTAAAACCCAATTTTGGCGTAGTGTATGTTACAGCCGTCATTGCGCTCTCAATCGAAGCTTATCCTCCGAATGGATAAGTTTAGATTGTTGTTTAATAGTAATTTGACATGATCTAAATAAGTATATTTTTTGACTTTTTATAAAATATGAGTTGAGTATGGATTGAATTTGAAGTGATGTGATAGAGAAGTGATGTGACTTAAATAAGATAATGCGACTTAAATAGAATAATGACTCTTTAACTTTTTTAGAAGATGATAAATAAAGTCTTAGTATCATATATATATATATATATATATATACACGTATATTATATGTTGACTTTAATTAATTATATATAAAATTATACTTTTCTCATTTATAACTAATATAAAATTTAAGGAACTATTTAAATTTTTGGGGTTGTTACAGGTTTTGCTCAGTAAAGTAGGTTAGCAGGTTCGACCAATTTGGAAAATCTTTGTCGAGCGGGTTTTGCTTGGTGAAGTAGATTGGCAGGTTTGACCAATTTAGAAAATCTTTGTCGAGCAAAGTAGGTTGGTAGGTTTGACTAACTTGAAAAATCTTTGTCGAGCGGGTGTTGCTTAGTGAAGTAGATTGACATGTTTGACTAATTTTGAAAATCTTTGTCGAGCAAAGTAGGTTGGCAGGTTTGACAAACTTGGAAAATGTTTGTTGAGTTGGTTTTGCTCGGCAAAGTGGGTTGACAGGTTTGACCAACTTTAAAAAATTTTATAGAGTAGGTTGGTGTTTGTCCAACAGTGGGATTCCTTGCCGAGCGGGTTTTGCTTGCCAATAAGCAAGTTGGTGTTTTGGTAGTTCCTAACAAGATTAGGTATTCTTGGAATAAGTCTTAACAAGATTAGACATTCTTAGAATAAGTCCTAACAAGATTAGGCATTTTCAGAATAAGTCCTAATGAGATTAGGCATTCTTGGAATAAGTCCTAGCAAGACATTTTCGGAATAAGTTCTAACAAGTCTAGGCATTATTGGAATAAGCCCTAACAAGACATTTTTGGAATAAGTTCTAACGAGGCTAATCATTCTTTGAATAAGTTTCAGCATAACTAGGCATTTTCGGAATAAGTCTTGGAATAAGCCTTAGCACCCATGTATGGTTTTAGCTAAGCAATATTACACGACTATTTTTATCAAAACAACAGAAAAACTTCACTTTTTCACTAGGTTCAAAGAGAATGAAAGCTTGGGGGCAATTGAGAGGGAATAAAAATAACCACAAAAATTATATGAGTCTAGGCATTACCACTGCATTAGTATTTTATGTTATGCAAAACTCATCAGGATATGAAATATTAATGTTATAGAAGTCCTAAACAAGCGGAGATTATTTGGGATAGTGCTCCTGAAACATCCAAACTACTTGATAAGTAAGTTACTGGATATTTATAAATAGACAATACCTTCATGGGTTGAGATACGCAATTTCTCTTTATGAATTAGTCCATTAAATATTTTGATAATATTGGAGGGCTAACTTGGGTGATGGAGGCCCCCAACTACGGTTGGAGGTGTTTTGTCTTATAGATAGCGATCGCATGGTGGTGTTGATCATCTTTTTTGTTAAATTTCTTTATCATTAAATATGATATTTTTTTTTATGTCCATACAATAATCATATTTTGTTGCACACCAAATGAAACTATCCAACTTGCAAAAAAATATTTTTCATTGGGTTGAGTTGACTCACTAGAAACTGGAAGTTGATAATACCCCGTCATGATAATTAATAACATTTTTCATCAAATATTATTAAAAATGTTACTAATTGTTAATTTTTAATGACAGTTTAAAAATTTTGTCACAAATTTCACTGATTATAAGTTTTAGCGATATTTAAAAAAAATCGTTACAAAAAAAGGTTATTAATTTTCAACTTTCAATGGCCGTTTAAAAAATTCGTCATAGTAAAAAATCATTAATTATAAATTTTAGTGGCAATTTGTAAAAATTATGACAAAAAATTACTAATTATTAATTTTTAGCTCTGTTGGTAAAATATCATCAAAAAAAATTAATTTTAACACTAGTTTTATGAAAATTTATTTTTAATAAAAATTAAATCAAATTATGAGGAGCTATAATTCAACTTAAATATTTTAGAAGAGTTTGGTGGTGCTGGAAACTACCAACAGCTCTGCAAGCAAAAAGCCCTGGTTACAAGTGTCTCTGTGTGTCTGAAAATTCAAATTCCGATTTTGAGGTGTCCACCAACTTTACTTAAATAAAGGGGTTGTTTGGAATGATCTAAATAAGTGTATTTTTTAATTTTTTATAAAATATGAATTGGATTTGAGTTGAATTTAAAGTGATATATTAAAAAAATAATATAATTTAAATAAGATAATATAACTTAAATAAGATACTTATTAATTTTTTTTCAAATATGTCAAACCAAGCCAAATTCACTCAATAACTTCACTCACATTCTACTATATGATAATGTTTAAATACATTCATGTATACGCATGAGAAATTATTCAATACCCGTGAAGTACATTGGGGTAATATAATGTTTTAAATAAGGGTAAATTATAAATATATTTTTTAAGTTTATTTAAATTATAAATTATTTTTTATAATTTTAAAAATTATATTATGTCTTTTAAAATTTTTAATTTCATAATAAATAGGCTCTTTTATTAATAAATTATCAAGTTAATTAATCGTTTTTAATAATGTTAAAATTTTATTTTAATTAATAATTTAGATAATTTTAGGAGTTGTTTGGGATGACCTAAACAAGTATATTTTTTGTCTTTTTACGAAAAGATGTGCAGAAAAGTAAAGAGGTGATGTGATGAAAAAAAGATAAAAAGATGAATTATTTTGTATATGCCAAACTTGGCCTTAGTATTATATAGGTGAACAGTTAGAAATTTCACTTTTTTCAATTAGTTCTGTTAAATAAAAAATTCTGACAAAGAGACATTTGTAATTTTTCAAATCACAAAAAATAATTCGTATTTTAAACAAATCTCAGAGAATGTATTTGTAATTTACCCTTTAAATAAAAAGTTATTAATGAGATCTACTTATCTTAAAATTTAAAGATATAAAATTTTAAGTATTAATTTGTAAATGAAACATAACATTGTTTCAAAAACATTAATAATTTTTTAAATAAAATTATATGTACCAATTAATATATTAATTTATAATGTATCATAATTTTAAATATTTTAAAATTTTAAAATTTATATTTTATATGACAGGTGTGATTTATAATTTTAAAAGTATAATTAGCACAGTGTAATTTATCCTGTACACATATACAGATAGGAGAGAGAGAGAGAGAGAGAGGGGGGGTAGAGAGAGGAAAACGATGGAGATGGAGGGGTCCATGTCGATGTCCATGGCTGCGGAAACCTAACTCTCAAATGGTATAATAGTTTTTGTTTTACTTGCATTTCAATCAATCCTTCACTTCAAACCACTTTGAATCAATCTCTTTTATGCTTTCTCTCTTTCTCTCTTTTTCTCTACATTTTCTTTACTCTCTTCCATCTGATCTCTTCCCTCTTCAATTTGCGCTCCAGGAATGCTAGTTCTTCGGTCTCAAACCTCTTTGTTGCTCAGGTATGTCCCAGATCTCAAACCTTTTCCTTACCTCCTCGTCTCTGATTTGTGCATAAATTTGTACTCTTTTTGGGGGAATTTTCTATTCTCTTCTCGTGTAGATCTTTACAAGTTTTCAGATTTTTGTTGTATTGTTCTTCAATTCGTATTTCTGTTGTGTGGAAATTTTGGTAAATTAGTTATTTGAGTGTGAATGTAGTTTGCTAGGGTTTGGTATTGTGTTCATTTAGGTTGTTGTTCAAATCAAATAAAGGGTAGAACCTTTAGTATTTTGATTTGGTGGTGATCTCTACTTTTTATGTTCATAGTAGTTTGATGGGACACGAAATAAATAAATAAATAATGGGTATTGAACTTCAAGTTTACTGGACTAATGCTTCAGCTGTTGTATTGTTAATGGTCAACATAGCAGATGATCTGCTCATGAAAGATATTGATTATGTCTTAACTTGTGTGGCTGGCTGTAACTATAATTTGATGGTCTATTACGTTTTCTTTTTGAATTATTGCGGTTAGTTGTTATTTAAAGTATCGTTTACATAGTCAGTTTTATGCTACTTGCAGGCTATCTGGTTTTTATATGCTTTAAAAAAAGTTAGATTGAGCTTGACCCTATTATTTACTTTATGTTAATTTGAATAAATGTTTACATCTCAATCTCGATAGCCCTTGTTTATTCTTTTTTCTTTACTTATTTTTTCTTATTATTTTCCAAGTTCAATTTTTGGCTTGTGCCATATTTTTGAGATTTTAATTTTTGGAACCATGTAGGGCTCGAGTTCCTCTTCTTTCATTGTAACTTTTGAACAATGGGGAAGTCTCCAGGGAAATGGATCAAGACGGTTCTGTTTGGGAAGAAGTCATCCAGATCTAGTTTTCCAAAAGTAAGAGAGGTTTTAGTAAGCTGTTCATACTGTTGGTCCTCTTTAATTCGTTGCAGTTGTTCATGATTGTGATATGACTGTGCACGCATTCAAGCTTGGTAAAGAAGAGTGTGTTTTTTGTACAGAATCTGGATTTTCCAGCTTTGTATGGGAATTCTACCAATTGCTCATAAGCTTCTAGAACTCACAATGGGTTTTGATTTGAAATGCTACTCTGGAACCCCAATACAAATAATTATGTCTAAAGGGATTTTCTCATGATTATTAAGAGCTGTATCTTGGTTCTGGATCAAAATTTATTCAAAACTTGCCTCAGCTTCTGGGCTTTCTGATTGTCTATCAGTGAACCTGAATTACAGTCACATATTATATTAGTTTAATGAACTATGTAACATCAAAATAAGCTGCACTGAAATCAAATCCTTTTCCTATAAGTTGCTTTATTTGAGTTCTTTTTGATGCTTGGTATGCTTGAAGTTTTACCGTACATCTTATCTCTTAAGCAGTTTGACCCTCCCTCTGCTTATTCTGTTGAGTACTTTGATTATTCCAAAAAAACTATCTTTTGCTGTTTAGCTAGCCTATAGCTCAAAGAAAGCTGATAACTTTATTTTGGTAGTAATATTCTTCCATTTATATTGCAAGTATTAACATATGTAAGTTCTGATTTGCAATTCTCATCTCATGTGAAGAATGCCGCAATTGAGAAAAAGGCTCCTTCTGGAGTGTTGGCTGTGGATCCTCCTGCAATTGCAGATCTGCCATCTCAGACCACTGGTGGAAACACAGATTTGGAAAGCGGTACTAATGAGACATTTTTATTGCCTAGAAATCAAGGATCAGATACAGAAGATGCTGTGGGATTGAACTCAGCAAGCAATGGTGAGATAGAGCAAGCTGCCACAAAGGCACAAGCAGCTTTTAGGGGCTACCTGGTAATATTATAGCATAAAGTAATGCAATTGATCATACAACCTTCATGTTCAGGATATAGTGAGGCCGATTCTCTCGTTCTTTGCTATAGCATTCTTATTTATTTTACTTTTAAACTGCGTTATCACAATTTTTCACCAGACAGGTATTATGAGGTATCTAATAATAAAAATTTATTTATACCAATGCAGTCCTGTTGAACATGTGATTTGCAATGATGTCTTTAACAATTCTGAATTCTGTTTTCTCTTTTTGTATTCCTCCTTCTCATTTTACTTGTATTTTTGGTCATGTTTACAAAATTTTAATTTTGTGTCCTTAAGCTGTTTTGCAAAAACAGTGTTAGTTTTATCTTGTTAATGTACATATTCAATGCAAAATTTATTGGGATGCTTAATAATGTGATTTGGATGAATGGTTAGCAGTAAGAATTTTGTTAATTTTTCCTATTATTACTTTGTATTTGCGTAAATTACATTGACTTTCCTTGAGGTTTAGGAAAAATACAATGAACTACACAGTATTGATATAATTACACCCTCCTCCCTTAAATTTTTAACTTTCATAACAATTTAGCCCACATTGTTAGAAGTCTGTTAATTATTTAACAGTTCAATTCCTCTGTGCAATAAAATTCTAATTTTGTTCTTATTACATTGGGTTCAATGGGTTGAGCCCATAAGTTAGACCCAGCTTCTCCAACTTATGCTCTCTAACTCACCCATCTCACCCCTCTCCTCCTTCATCCCTTCACCATCCACCACTTTCTCTGCATTGATTTAATGTGAATATATCTATCTGTGAAGGCACGCCGGGCATTTCGGGCCCTCAAGGGAATCATAAGGCTGCAAGCACTTATTCGTGGGCACTTGGTTAGGAGACAGGCTGTTGCTACTTTGCGTTGCATGCAAGCGATTGTTAATTTTCAGGCACTAGTTCGTGGCCGACAAGTCAGACTTTCTGATGCTGGGTGTCAGGTGCTTAAGAGGTGCAAAACAGGAGAATCCATGGTAATCCCTCAAAGCACACAAATTAGCTTTTACATCCTCGACTCTTTTTTGCCTCTGATTCTTTTGTGATTAGATTTTCATTTCTCGTGGTCTCTGTTGTACTGATTTTTTTTCTTCATATCCTTCTTGATGTTTTCTTCTTCTTTTTTCTTTTTCTTTTCTGATTCACTTGCATACCAGATTTATGGGGTGGCAGTGTGCAGATAGGACAATTTGACCTGTATAGTAATTACTATCTCTATCTTTGGGCCATTTCTTGTAAAATCATTAATCATATCTGTTCGAAAAAGCCTAGTCAACAAGCCTTCACGAAATGATTTTTCACTAGCCTGCTAGAGAGATCATTTTTATCATTCTGTCCCCATTTTGCACCATATTTTCTAACATAATCAGGTTATCATATCATTAGTAGGCCCCTGTATTCTTACTATTGAGTCTTGTCCTTTCCAACTTCCTGGTCATTTTACAGTCTTCAACTCAAACTTATATCACTTCTTACTGGTAAAGCCATGGTCTCTAACTTCTCTTCTTAATATTGATTGGTGCTACAAGCCCAATAGATATTATGCAAGTAATCCTTCTGAACGTCTTATTTGCTGCCCAAATGGCATTTCTTTGCTGGTAAAAGCTTATTACTTCTCGTTGGCCTTGTGATTCGTCTAATTCCATCTGTGTTATTTTGCTTTTAGAACGTATGTTTAGGAGCGTAAACAGTTGGACTCAAAATCAAAAAATTCATTTCTTCGGTCAGAGAAGCTATCGAGAAATGCATTTGTTATTAAGGTATATTCAACCCTATGTGGTACCTTGAATACTTCCGTAAATTCAGGAGTGGTTTGAGATGTTCTAAATAAGAGCACTTTTTGACTTTTTATAAAAAAAAATGTGTAGAAAAGTAGAGAAATTGGGTAGAAAAGTAGAGAATAGATGTTGGTTGATGTGACCTAAATAAGTGGGTGTATGCAAAAAAAGTATACTTTTTTAGTGCATGCCAAACACCTACTCAGTTTCTTACCCATGAGTACAATGCTACAATACTTGAAGTTGTCCATTGTTAGTATTACTGTTAGATCTTCCTCCTTCCTGTGTGATGTTTCTTTCTGATGTAGTGCCTAATTACACCATTGTATGCAGAGAAGTAATATAACCTACGAACTATATATGCTTAAATTTGAAAGATATAATCTAATTTTTGAGTGAATAGCTCTGATAACCTTATGGATAGTACAAAATGGTGCTTGTAATGGCCATGCCCTTGCTGGACATGCATGGCTGAGACAGCTCAGCTTTGTTGAAGTAACTTGTATGTTTCTGAAATGTTTTTTAGAATATCATATATCTAAACTTTGTATTGAAACAAGTTTGAAGAGAAAAATGATATGAGTGCGGAAATATAAAATGTTCTGTAGTATCCCATTGCTATATGAATTGTGAGTTGACTTTCCATGTTGCTTGTTTTAGCTTGTTGCTTCGTTGCCTGTTGTTATGCCTCTCAGCCTCCGGTATGATCTAGTTGAACCAAATTCATTTTGGAGCTGGCTTGAACGGTGGTCATCATCCCGCTTCTGGGAACCACTTGCCCGACCAAAGAAAAGTCTTAACTCAAAGCCTCAAAAAAAGCAAGCTAACATGCAAACTGTAGAAAGAGAATCGGGAAGGCAAAAAAGAGGTGTCCAGAGAGTCCCTGCATTACATGGTGATGGTAATTCATTGCATTCCACCTCTGAGTATGAGAAACCCAAACGAAACCAGAGGAAAGCTCTGACCCATCAAACAGAACCAGTCCAAGAACAACCTCAAAATGAACTTGAGAGGGTTAAACGCAGTCTGAAAAAAGTATCTGTATCAGCTGAAGAGGCTACTGACAAGTCAGAAGCTGTTACTGAGAAGCTGCAACGCAGTCTGAAAAAAGTGTCAAGCTCTCCTGCTCCGGTTGTTTCTGAGCAGGGTATAAATAAATCTTCAGAGAAAACTAGTGATTTAACTGTTGCAGTCTCTGAACATCCTGTGGTAGAACCACCTCCAAAGCCATTGGCATTGGATGAACCAGTTGAAATGCTGCATGATGATCATCCTGCTGTTGAACAGCTTTCTTCAGAAAGTGGTGAAAAGGTCATGAATGGTGATAAGGTGAACGAGGAGTTAAGCTCCAAGGAAGATCAGTCTAAGGAGAACCAGAAAACCAAGAGGAGGAAATCTTTCCCCGGAAAACAGGAATATCCTGAGAATGTCTCGCAGAACACTCCAACCGTGCCAAGCTATATGGCAGCAACTGAATCTGCAAAGGCAAAACTTAGAGCTCAAGGATCGCCAAGGTTGGGTCAAGATGGGGCTGAAAATGGTCTTGCCAGGCGTCAATCCCTGCCATCCTCCACGAATGGAAAAGTGATCTCACTATCACCTCGGGTTCAGAGGCCAGCAGGACAAGCAAATGGCACAGGAGGAAGTAGAAGTGATAGATCACTTTTGTCCTCTAGAGAAGGTAAGGCCTGAAAGCATTGGCAGTTATTCGTGTCACATATGCAATTTATTGGTACCCTTTATCATCATGGGCTAGTCATATTTGGTTTGAACTGCTATATTTAAATTATGAATCAATGGTTCTGGGGCATGCCAATGTTATAGGGTTTGTGATAATTTAAGATGGTTGGTTTATATATATATAATTTTTTTATTTTTAATTCTCTCTCATTGCCAATGTTTCCTGTGTTGCATTTCCAGTAAGAAATCAAACTGGAGTCATAATATGTTATTCTTGACATTGTCTAACAGTAATCAAAATTAGAACGTATGTTTAACTAATTGGTTTTGATTATCTGAATGATTTTGTGTATTTCAACTCTATATTTCAGAGAAGATGATCCAGCCCGGGTGGAGGAGGTGAGTGTGGCATGCTGCTTTTGGAATATTATGGAATTAGAAGGTGAAAAAGTGACTGCTTGGTTGTAGTTCATCACTTGATGATGTTCTGCAAAATTCTGGTGTCAAACATGGAATCAAACTTTGACAAATAACTATGATGTGCCTTTTTTTTATTTTTTTCATGGCATTTAGGTTCGCCATAAGGGAATGTATAGTCATATACCCCCAGTGTGTGTTGTTTTGTTTAGCATTATCTGTGTGCTTTGTTCTTTTATCTTTTTGTTTCTCTACAACATTGTAAGAAGCGAGAAACCTTGAACGTGCTTGATAAACAATACCTCTCTGGAAATTGCATATTTTGTCTTCCTTCTAACTTTCATTTTTTGGGTGAGAGTTCCTAGTTTATATGGTCATAAATTAATGGTATATTTGATTGCCTGAAAATTGAACAGGATAATCTTTCTGGCTGGAAAATCCTTGTCATGGATGTACGAATGCTATATTTCTTGGGTACTGCTAGGTTCTCTTTCCTCTTTGGCACTACAGGAACATTTCATTGCATGTCATGAAACTCCTATATTCTGTGTTTTTTGGTTATGAAATTTTCATAGCATGCTTGTTACTAGTTTTGGGATGCATCCACTCATTTAATTGGATACTATTTACTCTGCCCAGTTTTGCTATATGGATATTACAGCGTGAAAGAGGACATGAAGTGAGTTGCTTTGGTGTAAACTGTAAAGCCATCTTAGAGTCACCTCGTCCAAAAAAAAAAAAAAAAATCTAAAATTTCATCATTTATATTTTTATGCTCAGAAAACAACTCAATTACAGTGTGTTTGGTTTGAGTTTTCTGGATTAAGTTTTTTAAAAATTGAGTTTTTTAGTTTTCGTATTTTTTTATTTTTAGTGAATATTTTTAAAATTTTAAACATTTTTTTTTTACTTTTTTAGATGCATTTTACTTAAATGTATCTACAAAGTAAAAAAGTTGTGAAAAAATATTTTCAAAAATTAATAAATACATAAAAATATAAAAAAATGTATTGAGTTTTTGTATTTTTTTGTATTTTTAGTATTTAGTGAATTTTTAAAAGGAGTCGTGTTGGGGACCTCCAGTTGGGGGTGACTCCCCGCACCCCTACTCCACGGGAGAGGCTGTGGACTAAGAGAAAATCAAAAAAAAAAAAAAAAATTCAACCAAACGCGTGCCGCCACATCAGCTGGGGTCACTGGGAGTCTTCAAAATTGGGGGTGCAAATCATTTTTCTTTTAAAAGATTTTTTTTATAATTTTTTTTATGTTTTAGATGTATTTATGTTAGGTGTATCTAAAAAGTAAAAAAATTACTTAAAATATTAAAAAAATTTAATAAAAATAAAAAAAACACGAAAAATAAGAAAGTAAAATTTTCTGAAAGACTGTTTTTAAAAAAATGGAACTAAACAAGTTGAATGTGTTTCTTAAAAATGAGGAAATCTATAGATTGAAACTAAAGAAACGCTGTCAATGCTATGAGAAAGGATATCGCACTTCTCTTACGAGAAAGGATATCACATTCCTTTCTATATGAGTTGAATTCGCAACAATAGTCTAAAGACCTTGGTTTGAGCCCGTCAATGAGATTATACAACAAAATTAGTACACAACTGGTTCGCTTCTCTGGTCTATTGATTTATAATTTCATGTTTATATTTAATGGAATGGAATGGAAATCTTAATTTCAACCAATGTCGTTATAATTGCAGTTTAGGCTTATGTTCTTAAATTTAAAGTTTTCATTGTTTAAGGTAGGTGGTGTTTGATAAAATTGAAAATTGAAGATTAAAAATTTAGTATTGATAACTGAATGTTGAATTTTTTAATTTAAAAAATTATTTGATAAAAATTTAAGTGTTGAATTAAAAATAAGTTATTTGATATGTATAAGATCAAATTTGAAATTTATTATTTTTAAATTATATATTTTAATTTTTATATTGTGATGGTGATGGTGATGGTAATGGTATTATGGTGCTGGTGGTGGTGGTGTTGGTGGTGTTAGCAGTAGTGATAACAATGGTAGTAAAATGATGATGGTGTTTATAGTAACAGTAACAATAATGATGATGGTGGCAGCGGCGGTGATGGTGGTGGTGGTGGTGTTGTTGGTGGCAGCAGTGATAGTGGTGGTTGTGGTATGATGGTGGCGGTGGTGATGGCGTGGCAGTGGCAGTGGCAATGGTGGTGCTTATGATACTAATAACAATGATGATGAACGTGGTGATAGTAATGGTGGTGGTGATAGCGGTAGTGGTAGTAGTGGTGGCGGTGGTGGTGGTATGATAGTGATGGTGGTGGTGGTAAATTTATAATAGTGTTTACGATACTTATGTTTAATATTTATAAATTCAGTTAGAATTAAGTAAATTTCATAAGGCTTAAAATTTTTTTAAATTTTAATTTATATTTTATGAAGTATTTAAATTTTTAAGTGATATCAAATGTAGTTATTATTTAATATATTCAATTTTAAATATTGAATCAAGTTATCAAACACCCTCACATTCATCAATAAATAGCATGGCTATTTTCCTCTTACATATTGTAAACATCTTTTAAAACAAAACACGATAAAGATGATTTTTATTTATGAAAAGAATATTGTCACATAAACAACTTTGTCTTCAAATTTTCAATAAGAATGGAATTTACTCTATTCTTACAGAAAATAGATAACATATCATTCCATAAGATAGAAAACAAATTCATTCGTCAAACACAAAAGGCAAATAGTGAGGTTCCTGCAGTGAAAAATGGATCACCCGCAAAAAAGCCGACCTTATATCCATTCCCCACGTAAACGCAACCCTTGCTCACCGACGCGCCACCATACACGGTGGCTCCGGTATCATAGGACCATAGAATTTTACCAGTTTCGGCATTCATGGCGAATAGGGGTCCTGTTTGGTACGTGGAACCAGCAAAGAGGACACCATTGGCTATAGTCACAGGACCACTAGATGAGGTGTTAATGTTGGGGTTGGCTGTGGACCACAAGATTTGGCCGTTGCGAGCGTCCATCGCCACCCATCCGCCGGATGTAGTGGTTTGGTTGGATGGTTTCAGAGTGAAGATCTTGTCGTTGCTGTTGCCAATGTTGGTGTAGACTCGGTTTTCGTCGGTGGCCGCTCCCCATGTACCTCCTCCACCAAATCCGCCAGGTCCAGCCACCTGAACACTTATTATCACTCAATCTCATCGTATTCATAATCACATAAATATAATTTCATGGTACTAAAAAAGAGATGTGGAGTACGGGGTGTTAGGCATCTCATAATCTCATCTCCTAAAACAAACATGGCCATATAATGATATGGAATCCACTTCTAAAGATTCTCTTTATCTAAATTTTTCTGTCTATACATTTTTTATGCAAAAAATTATATGAAAAATCTTATGACAAAAAATTTAGAAATATGAACCCTTGACTAGTGTGGATTAGGATAGTGAGATTTAAGGTGAATCTCATGCTAAATGCTCACAACAATTATCCAAATTTTTTTTTATCAAAAATAAAAATTAATTATTTAATTTGAGTTTTTACTATGTCTCCTAAAATCAATTAGTGTTAGGAAAGATTTCACTTTTGTCTTTTATAACATTCTATATCACATTTGCAAGTTTGTTTTTAGTGTTGTTGTAGGGAGTGACAGTATATCCAAACTGTTATTATGGAGCTCCTTTCTTATATTATGTAGTGACTGTTGCTGTAGAGTTTACATATTTGTGTTTTGAACTCTCTTAATAGTTAATTGTTAATTATTTTGATATTTGTAAATATAAATATTCTACTGACAAAAAAAAAAAAATTAGTAAATCTAAGTTGAGGGGTGCATTAGGCATTAAGTTTAACTATTAATTTTATTGGTGAGAAGAACACGCATTAAAAAGTTGTCGAAAGTCATTAGCCGGCAATAGGAGGGAGTCGGACAAATAAGTAATAATTGAAGAAATAGATGACACGTGTACAAGTAATGAGACATTAGATAATTAGACAGATAAGTGACACATGTATAAATAGCTGTATATTTAAACATAAATAATTGAATAGATACGTAACATATGCAAATTTTTAACAAGATGTCTTATTAGACAAATAATATCTTTTTAAACTTGGGCTGATAGGCCCAAGAATTTCAAAAATAGATCTCTTGCCTTTTTTTTTTTTTTTTTAAATAAATAAAAAAATGATGAAAAATTAAAAGGGTAATTGCAGCACAGTGTAATAGGGGAAATTTTTCTTACGTACTTACAGAAAAGTTTACAATTATTTTTTCAAACCTCCACTAAATTGATATTTTTCGAAAAGTAAACAAAAATGAGTGAGATCACTAAAAAGATGAGTACTAATAGCTCAAAAATGGTGTAGGTTCCCACATGATGGAATGTTTTGCTTTTTTTTTTTTTTTTTTTTGAATTTTTATCTCACTAGTAGTCAATTAGTACTCCCAAATTAGTAAGATGAATCATCATTGAAAAATAAAAAAGGTTATATTGTGGAAGGAAAGGAGTAAACTGACCGTAGACCAGATGATACTGCCATTGTTCCGATCCAAAGCCCACGCAAAGCCATTCTTCTGCACAGCAACCACCACATCTCTCTTCGTCCCATTAACCTCCACACTCAACATCATGGGAGCTTCTCCGAAATCCGAATCCGTACTCGGCCCGGGCGGACAACTCGGACTCGTAGGATCCAAAAAACACGCGAAAAACCAAACATCATAACCCCCTAATTGCGTATACCAAACAATCTTCCCAGAATCCAAATCCAATCCCAGAATGGAGTTGGAATGGTTGTCGGGCTCGACACACTGGTCGGGTTGAGTAGGGACCGTTTGGTTGTTCTGTTTTTGCTGACAGAGACTTATGTTTGGAGGAACGGAGTAGAGGTTTCCGGTGGCGATGTAGACGAGGTTTCGGGGGATGTCGATGGAAGGGCTGCTTCCCCAGATGGCTGCTCCGGCGTATTGTCCAAGGGAGCCGTTGTTGTTTGGTAGCATGAAGGTTTGCCATGCGATAGCGCCGGTGGTGATGTTTAGCTTGGCGAAGCTGCCTTGGAAGGTGCAGCATTGGGTGATGCTGAGTCCTTCTTCTAGTGATGATGTTCCCACGTAAAATGCTCTGTTCGTAACCAACTAAAAATTCAGTAATATTATTGGGTTTGTTCCTAATCAAATAATAAACAGCAATACTAGCTATCATGATAAATCTTTCATAAAAATGATCATAAAAAATTTGTGACTTTTAAATTACACTTAAAATAAAGTATCATATACTAATCAAAGTAATCTAAAAGTCACAAATCTTTCATAATCATTTTCATAAAAAAATTTTTAATGATCCTTAGAGCATCTCCAATGGTGGTAGGCATTTTACTTATCTAAATATTACTATAAAGTATACATTTTATTTTGCCTGTCAACAATTTTATGTTTCTACTCCAACCATGCTCTTTATTTTAGCTACTCATCCAAATACTATTAACTTTATAGAATGCCACGTCAGCAACAAAGATGGAGGGAAATAATCTTAATGATTAAATACATTTTGCCTAGTCTTGAAGGCTAGCTACATGTAGCTAGTGAATGTGAGCTGAGCCAAAATGCCTAAGCATATGCCTAGTGCATTGGAGTTGAAAAAAGTGAGTCATATTAAACATTTTGACTAACAAACATCATATGCCTAGTGGGTTGGAGATGCTCTTCACATTTCTCAATAACAAAACGACTTTGGAGTTGGTGAAATTCATGACTCAAAAATAACGTCCTTGGACCGTACGTACACTACGCCCCCCATGCCTGTGATGTGAGCATTCCTCTAACAAAAATACCAAAACTCCAAATAAATTAGTATTAAATATTTTACATAATATTTATATGAGTGTGGGTCTTATCTTATGTGATATGAGTCTCCTAACTTTTTTTTTTTTTTGATAACGCAGGTATCCCCAATTCTCTAGTTTTTCGGGAAGTCAGGACTAATCCTGCGGGGTAAGTAGCCCGGGGGAAGCCGTGTACTCCTTTCAAACTGCTGCAAGCACTCACCCAGTGGAGAATCGAACCCGTGACCATGCGCCTTAACCACACAGTCACGTGTGCGCCCTTACCACTGGGGCAGCTTCATGCCTGTGATGTGAGCATTCCTCTAACAAAAATACCAAAACTCCAAATAAATTAGTATTAAATATTTTACATAATATTTATATGAGTGTGGGTCTTATCTTATGTGATATGAGTCTCCTAACTTTTTTTTTTTTTTGATAACGCAGGTATCCCCAATTCTCTAGTTTTTCAGGAAGTCAGGACTAATCCTGCGAGGTAAGTAGCCCGGGGGAAGCCGTGTACCCCTTTCAAACTGCTGCAAGCACTCACCCAGTGAGGAATCGAACCCGTGACCATGCGCCTTAACCACACAGTCACGTGTGCGCCCTTACCACTGGGGCAGCTTGCCTCCCTAGGTATCCCCTAACTATATATATAAATATTGCGTATAATATTTAATAATTTGTTTAGAATTAATCCCTAATATTAGTGTTACTCTAATTAACATTCTGAGGCCTCGTTTGGCAACAGGCCGGTTTAGTTAAAAAGTCAAAAAGTTACTAAGGCTCTGTTTGGGAAGAAAAAAGTCAGGCTTTTTTGGCTAAAATAGCCACAAAAAACAAAATAGGCTATTTTAGCCACAAAAAAACAAAACATCAAATCCAACCCATAATCATTACAATCATCTCTCACAAAAAAAGCCAAAAAGCCCTTCCCAAACCAGGCTAAAATAGCCCAGACTAAAATAGTCAAAAAGCCAACCCACTTCCCAAACGGAGGCTAAAAAGGCCAAAAAATCAATAACTCATACAAAAAAGTCAAAAATTTTCTTTTCTCTCTACTTTTTACACATCTTTTTGTAAAAAATAAAAAAGTCATCCCAAACATACTAGTTTTTTTTAGTACATATTTTAGTCAAATAGTCAAAAAGTTACTAATCAGTTAGATCAAATATATGGATGGATTGGATTCGTGAGTGAGTTAGAACAAATTATGCATTTCAACTATTCAATTTAAACCCGTTCATTAAATGAATAGGTTGGGTTAATTGGGTTTATTGAAGATCATTTTCTGATGTGGAGATGGAGAGTGATGGTGATTTTACGTGGTGTTACTGGGGTGGCAATGGATGGTTGTGGTGGTGGGATGATTAAGAGAAAAAACAATAGGAGAGAAATAAAAGAAAATAAATAAGAAGATTATTTCAATTGTAATTTTTTTAATGTTTTCATTTCGGCATTGATTACAAGAAAACAAATATTGGATTGTACATTCTAAATGAAGTCTATGCATTAAAAAAAAATATAATTTGTGAATAATTATGCATGTACCATGAACTTTTTATTTTTTTAATATGTTTTTATCAATTGGGCACAAACAACTAGGCACAACGAGCATGTGGTACGAGGATTAAATAACTAGTGGATTTGAACTAGGCTATATGTTAAGAAATTACTAAATATTTCTAAAATATAATGCGACATCAATTATATGATATTGGATGATATTTTAAAATTATTTAATAATTTTCTGTTAAATGCCTTCAACGTCAAGTAAATTTAACTTGCCAGCCAACCCAACGTTGGGTGAGCTAAAATTGCGGCTGAACCTAAATATTATTTAAAAATAAAATAAAAAATATATATTAATTAATAAATTCTATATTATTTTATTTGTTGAGGCCATCTCCAACGATAGTAGGTATTTTGCCTATTTAAATATTACTATGAAGTATACATTTTATTTTGCCTATCAACTGTTTCATGTTTCTACTCCAATCATGTTCTTTATTTTAGCTATTCATCCAAATGCTATTAACTTTATAGAATGTCACGTCAACAACAAAGATAAAGGAAAATAATCCTAATGATTAAATATATTTTGCTTAGCCTTGAAGGCTAGCTACATGTAACTAGTGAATGTGAGTTGAGCCAAAATGCATAATCATATGCCTCGTGCATTAGAGTTGAAAAAAGTGAGTCACATTAGATATTTTGACTAACAAGCATTATATGCCTAGTAGGTTGGAGATGCTCTCCATTTATTATTTTATAAAAATAAATTAGCTTGCTTGGTTCCATTTTTCCAAAAACACTTTTCAGAAAATTCTACTTTCTTATTTTTCGTGTTTTTTTTGTTTTTCTTGATTTTTTTTTTAATATTTTAAGCAATTTTTTTACTTTTTAGACACACCCAACATAAATATACCTAAAAAGTAAAAAAATTATAAAAAAAATCTTTTAAAAATTCACTAAATACCAAAAATACAAAAAAAAGAGAAAAGAATTCAGTACATTTTTTGTATTTTTATGTATTTATTAATTTTTAAAAATATTTTTTCACAATTTCTTTATTTTTTAGATACATCTAAGTAAGGTACATCTGAAAAAATTTTAAAAAAAATGTTTAAACTTTTAAAAATATTCACTAAAAACAAAAAAACACGCAAAACCAAAAAACTCAATTTTTAAAAAATTTAATCTAGAAAACTCAAACCAAACACACTGAATCTTGTTTTAAATAAATTTTCTTTTTTGCATGGCGCACTAATTAAATTAAAAAATAAGTTAGTTTTATATTATTTTCATGTCTTTGTGCTATTCACTCAGATTGTTGAAGTACGTAAACTTATTATGAGAGTTTTTTTTTTTTTATAATTTATTTATTAAATTATTTATTTTCTCCTTTATTATGGTGAAAAAATTGATAATTTAGTAGAGATGTTCCTATAGAACTAATGATGCATTAAAATAAAGGCATTCATGGATCTGACAATTGTAATCTCCCCTAAATGTAACATCATTGACTTTCAAATTTACGTATTAGTATAAATTAATCTTGTCAAAGGTTTTGGATAATAATCTCAATAATTAGACTCAACTGCTATTAACAATGATAAGAAGAATTTCATTTAAAAAAAAGAAAAAAAAAAAACAATGATAAGAAGAATTGCAACTTATTTATTTATTTACATCTATGGTGAGAGGGTAATTTATAAATAAATTGGGCCGAGTTAGGTAATGGGCCATTCTGTGGGCCGCGGTAAGAAGTGCTGAGTAAAAAGGCCTTGTAATTAGTCCGATCCAGAAGAGCCTTGCAGATAGTCCGGTCCGAAGGAGCTTAGTGGTTAGCTCGGTCACCAAGATCAGCGCGGTGACAGTTAGCCCGGTCATACTATGTTGGGCCAAAGTATGTTGAGCTTTCCTCAGAACCTTGCTATTGGTTAGCTCGATCCAAGCTCATTGTGGATAGCACGGTTTCGGACAATCCAGTTGGAATGTCAGCCGAGGTGCAAGCGCAGTAAAAAGAAGAACCGAGCTAGTTGGATCTCGGTCTAGTCTGCGGCTTTAGTGTGGCCATGTTATCTCGGTCGTATTGACGTCCAACCGTGGTAGAACCATCTCACTTGGTTTAAGCAGTGAGGGGGTGTTGAGGGATAAACATTATCTTTCAAGAAAGTGATTCCTAGGAGGACTCTACATGGAGGAGTAAGAGTCCTACTAGGATTGTGCCACACAGAACCTATAAAAGTTCATAACATCACCTATGGAGAAGTAATACAACTTTGATTCTCAAAGACACAGAGCTTTTGTCTATTTGTCTATTTGTCTATTTTGCTGATTAGGCATCGGAGAGGTATCCGGCACACACCTGCTGGCTAGCTCACGTTTGTGTTTTCAAGGAGTAAAACAACATCGTACGGAAAAGCGCAGACTTGATCAATAGGATTATACGAGAAGGTTTATTTCTTTTCCGTATATATGGATAAAACTATCTAAGTTTATAAGTGTTAAATCTTGTAATGAACAATAGGAAACTGTCTATGGGTACTAAAAAATGAAATATCCCTTTATTAAATATAAGGAAAATAATATATATATAAACAATTTTTTATCAATTTTTTTTTGAGTTAATTATACAAATGGTTCTCCAAGGATACGTATTGTTATACTTCAATTCCAATATTTTAATTGTTTTATTTTGTCACAAAGTATTTGATCTGTATACACTTGTGCGTTAACGGGAGGGTGATATTTTCAAAATTTTATTAAAAAAGATAAAAAATCAAGTATATATTTTAGAGACTAAAATGAAGCAAAAGCCATATTTTAAAAATCAAAATGTTACAAAATGCATATTTCGAGATCATGTGTGTATTTGGTCATTCCAATTTTATCAAGACTTTATGTAAAATTTTAAAAAGGATTAGACTTCTCTTACGTTGAAATCTCATCTCAATATGAGAGAATTTGAGGGAATTATAGGGCCCATCACAAATTTCGTTTTGATAATCTAAATCGTTTATTTTGTAAGGCCCTCAATGTATATAATATCTATGGAAAAAATTAGTTCGATCTAGTAATCGTAATTTTTTTATTTTATTACATTTGTCTCCGAAAAAATAGATCACAAATATATTTTTAAAATAAACCATCCATATTTTTAGAGATAAATGTAATAATATGAAAATATTACAATTATCAGATTGACTTAATTTTTTTTTATGAATATTATACATTGAGAGATTTACAAAATGAACGGCTTGGATCATCGAAACGGGACTTGTGGTGGGCTCTATAAGCCCTTCATCATATTGAGATCTCAATATAAGAAAATCCCAATCCAAAAATACCTCTCATTTTGTTAATGGGATTAAAGTGGAACAAATTAAAAAATTGGAGACTAAAAGTACAACAAAATCTATACTTTGAGGATCATTAAAGCAATTAACCTGATTTTTTTACGCTAATATTTGGATAACAGAGATCAAAAACTTATTATCAAGAATCTCAACACTATTTATTTTAGCGTCAATGTAATTCAAATATTTTGTTTAATTAAAAAGTCTCAATGATATAATTTTTAAAAATGTGAATTCATCGACTAACTATATATATATATATATATATATTTTTGAATAAGTCACAAATCCTCCGTGAATGTGATCTCCAATGGGATATAAAAATAGGACTTTCCCAACGACTATGAGTCTCACATTATCTCATATCTATTTATTAGTTCAGATCCCACCACCTTTGTATTTAATAATAATAATAAAAGTAATTAAAAAAAAGAACATTACTATTTAAGACTAAAAATTAAATTTAATTTTCAAATCGAGTCATGTAACAATCAATTAAAATATTAAAAGTAACACTTTCATATATTATTTAATTATTAGCCAATCAAATCAGTTACACATTATTGAGTCTAAAAAATCAGTTCAAAAAGCGAATTTGTATGTTATTTTCATTAAAAAAATCAATTTATGCAAAAAATTTACTCTAATTAGAAACAATAAAACTACGGAGAAATTTGTCCTAAGTTGATAATGTAGTTGAGATTCAATTGATATTTTGTGAGGTCATAAAACGAGTTTCGACCATATATTTCTGAGTAAAATTCAAGTAAAATGAAGGTAGCAACTACTAACCCATTGTAAAAAGTTCCAGACATAGTGATAACACCAGCAGGGTGGGGATCGAGCTGTGTAGACCAAACAAGCTTCCCACTCCACCTTTCAACAGCTATAGCCACCGCCGGGCCATAGATTCCGATGATAAGCAAGTTGCCTGCGACTGTCGGAGTCGATCTCGAAACAGTGGTATTGACATTACCAACAAACCCAGTTGGCTGAAACCCAGTTAGGTTTTGCAAGTTCTGTTTCCAAATAAGTGACCCATCCTCTGCTTTAACTGCATAAAGGTAACCATTCCAGCTCGGAAAGTAGAGCATGCCGTCGAAGATTGCTGGAGTGGCACTTATGTCCTTCCCTGCAAAGAACTGCCACTTGAGACGTAGATTTGAGACAGTTGATGGGCTGATCTTGGTTTCGTTGTAAGCGTATCTACGGTTGTATATATCTCCGCCATGGTTTAGCCAATCTTCCTCTCCGTTTGCCTAACATGATCAAAACCAGATTATATTAACAAAATAGTTATTTTACTTACACACAAACTAATTGCAGAACTCGGCCCTTCTCGTGAAAGGGTTGTGATTCGACTTTTGTGTTTCTAATTTTTTTTTCTTAACAAAAATTTCGTGTAATGTGTCTATGAAGAGCAGTATTAGGATATATAGGGGGTGTTTGGTGTGGCTTAATTTGAGCAGATTATAGCTTTTGGTTTCTAAAAAGCTATTACAGACTGTTTGGTCTGGCTTAAGGCCAACTACTTGAGCTTCTACAGATTTTTTTCTTACATAAAAAAGTTGAAAATCAGAAGCAGCTAGGAGCAGCTTCGCGGATTGGGATTATGCGGAGGGGTGTCGAAATTACTTAAATGCCCTTCAATAATTTGAAGTATTACCAAATTGCCATGATATAAACCACAAAATCACTGTTCATCTCTAAGAGAGAGAGAGAGAGAGGAGAAAGAGTGGCGATTTCCGGCGACACAGGCGATTTCCGGCGACGCAGCCGATTTCCGGCGTGATGAACCAGATCCCTCTCTCTCCCTCTCTCTCTCCGATCGCGATCTGAAACCATCTGAGAACCAGATCTGAACCAAACCCATCGCGATCTGAAACCATCGCAGTGACGATGGACGGCATGGCGATCGACGGCGTGACGATGAAACCCTTCTCCTTCTCCTCTCCGGCGTCGTGATCTGAAACCCTTCTCCTCTCCGGCGTCGCGATCGCGATCAACGCTGTCTCTCTCTCTTCGATATTGCGATCAACGACAAGCTTCTCTCTCTCTCTCTCTCTCTCTCTCTCTTCGTGATCAACGATTGCAGAGGGCTACTGGAGTGTGAGATGAGGAGAAGAAGGGCGCGGCCGGCGGTGGCTAGGGCGGCCGGCGGTAGGGTTTGGTATTTGTGATGAATTATTAAATTAAAAAAAGTTTAACAATTTTTATATTTTAATTAATATTAGTTCTAATGAATTAGCAATAAATTAAAAAAAATTAACAATTTTAATATTATTAATTAATATTAATTGTAATGGATTAATAATAAATTAAAAAAATTAACGATTTTTATATTATTAATTAATATTAATTGTAATGAATTAATAATAACTTTAAAAAACTAACAATTTTTATATTATAATTGTTATTATAATGAAAAAAAAATAATCACAAGTTTTAATTAATTGATATTTTGTGCATAATGAAAAAATAAATCACAATTTTTATATTAATTGGCATGTAATAAAAAAAATGAAGAAAATAAAATAGGTTAACAATTTTTATATCTAATAAGGGTAAAAAAGACATTATACAACAAAAAGCTATTTTACATCTTATTAAACAAACACTACTCAACAACTTAAATCTATAATCTAACAGTTATACCAAACAAGTTAACAACTTTAAAAAATCTGAAATCATTGTATTATTATTTATTTCATAATATTTATTTATTTCAAGTTATTATTATTTATTATTTAAAAAATCTGAAATCATTGTATTATTACTTATTTCATAATATTTATTTATTTCAAGTTATTATTATTTATTATTTAAAAAATCTAAAATGATTGTATAAAAATTTATTTTTGTGTAATATTTATTTCATTGTATTATTATTTAAAAATGATAGGGTTATGTTAATTTGGTGTTGGAATGATCTCTTAATATGTAATTAATAGCAAAAAGTCTAGAAAAATTCAATTTACAACTAACAAGGGTAAAAAAGACATTTACACAGCAAAAAGCTACTTCACAGCTTATTTAACAAACACTACTCAGCAACTTAAATCTATAATCCAGCAGCTACACCAAACAAATTAACAGCTTCTGATTAAAGTCATAATCTATAATCTGTTAAGCTATAATCTATAATCTGTTTTAACAGCTACACCAAACGGCCCCATATAGTGGTGATACAATCCATATTAGGTAGGGTAGCTTATTTGAATAATTTATAGGTTTTGGCTTATTAGGACAAAATAGTTGGAAAAAAATGAATATATAAAAGCTGGGAAGACTTCTCTTTTATTAATTATCAACTTTTAATTTATAATAAGACAACCAAATATGCTCCTTATTGATCAATATGAGTATCAAGAGTATAAAATATCAATGCATATCAGGCAATATACGATTCATTTAAATCACTGGTAGAGAGAGAGACTTACTTTTGAAATTGCACTAGGAAAGATGGTGTGTAGACAAAGGACGCATAGAAGAAGGACAAAAGAATTGTTGCAGGCTTGAAGAGGTGCCATGGAAGCAAAATAGCTTTTGTGTAGTTGTGCAATTCTTGGGTTCATACTTATAGGAAAATTTCTTTTGTTCAAACATGTTAGATTGATTAAAATAGAGAACCGTACTCTGTTGTAACCAATGAGGTGGAGTTTACTTTAATAATTATATACAAGGGGGCCATGATCCTCTTAAGGTTGTCCCAAAAAAAATTATTATTATTAATAAAGTATTTTTTCTCAATGTCTTTTAAATTTTTTTAATAATCTTTCATCCTGTTTGGGAATAGGTTATATTAATTGATTATTTTGATTTTTTAACTATTTTAGCATGACTAAAAATATTATGTTTGGGATGATAGTTATTTATTTATTTATCTTTTTGTGTAGTTGATTGGATGATTGTGAGAGAAAAAATAAAACGATTATGGATTGGAGATGACATTTTGTTTTATTGATTATTTTAACCTATTTTATCTTTATTAATTATTTTAACCAAATAATTTCTAGCCAATTCAGGCCAAGAGTTTTGGCCATCAATAATTTTGTTTAATTGACAGAATTTGTGCTACATGCCTCAAAATTGGAGTTGATATGGGAAAAATTAGAGTTATCCTAAGAATTTATTTTTCAACAACAGCCATAAAATCAGCTTTAATCGGCATAACAATAATTATACTTCAAAGCAATTTGTTGCGTATGATCTAATTGAACAAGTACTAGTAGAAATACTCTTACGAAATTTTAATGAATTATTGATTCAGAATGGTCTCAACAACACTTCATATCAATAAGAACTATAACAAGATTTTTGAAATTATTCTCCCAAAGCCACGAGATTCAAATACAAATCTATACTGTCAAAATGATGATGATAAATGGAAGGATAAATTTTGAATTCGTGCACCTCTACTTTTGAGTTTTTTTTTTCTAGGATAGTGCTGCTGAGATAATTTTGAAAGGGTAAATTACAAATACATCTCTTGATGTTTACTTAAAATACGAATTGTTCCCTGTGATTTGAAAAATTACAAATACCTCCGTGTTAGAATTTTTTATTTAACATAATTAATTGAAAGAATAAAATTTATAACTACTCACCTATACAATAATAAAATTATTTGAATTATTAATTGAAATAAAATTTTAACATTATTAAAAACTGTTAATTAACTTGATGATTTATTAATAAAATGACATATTTATTATGAAATTAAAAACCTTAAGGGGTATAATGTAATTTTTAAAATCACATGAGATAATTTGTAATTTAAGTAAATCTCAGGTGATCTGCTTGTAATTTACCCATTTTAAAAAGATGAAAGTGACGAGAGTAAGAAGAGACGACATAAAATGAATATTGGAGGTGATAATGAATGGAGTGTCAACATTATTTTTATTTAACTTTTTTTTATTGTCAAGTACTTTTTTGCCATTTTAAATAAATAATTAATAGTAATAAAAAAATTCAATAAGTATCCAACCTAATTTTTAGAGTGCAATTTGGTTTGGACTATCATAATTCACTTTTTTAGAAAATTAAAATTTTTTATTTTGTCATATTTTTTTTGTTTGTACTGAATTTTTTTTAATATTCTAAACAATTTTTTTAATTTTTAGATACGCTTAACATAAATACACTTAAAAAGTATAATATTTGTGAATTTTTTTTAGAAAATTCCCTAAATATCAAAAATATATATATAAAAAAATATAAGAATTCAATATATTTTTTGTATTCTTGTGTATTTATTATTTTTTAAAATATTTTATTTTTTAAATATATCTAAGTAAGGTGCATCTGAAAAAATATAAAATTACTTAAAATTTTAAAAATATTTTCTAAAATCAAAAAAATACGAAAAACAAAAATTTAATTTCTAAAAAGTTGAATACAAAAAACTAAAACCAAACAAAATGAATACTATTATTTAAAAGTTAAAATACAATTTAAAAGTCAAATTTACCCTTAATTTGATCTTTCATTCCAAACAACCTTAACCCTAATTGCCTTGTTTTAAAAATTAATGCTAACCGTTAAGAGTATCCCAAATCAGCCTTTTTCGCCTACCATCACCCGCCATCTCCCCCCATCATCCTCGCAACCTCTTTTTACCTCCCCAGCCTATGGGTATGGCAACTCCCTCTCCCTTTGCCCACACCACCCCAACCCCTTCTTACTACCCTAGGAAAGATTCTTGCAGCAAATGTTTAGGATCATACTTATAGGAAAAAAATTCCTTTGTTCAAACATGTTATTTTTTTTGATTCCTTGGAAATCGAAGTAGATAAAGGTTTAACATAAAACAAAACAGAGGGCTAGTCCCTCACTACATAATTTCCAGTCATATCATCTATGAGTAGAGATCTAACTGCTTCTGGAGAGTTTTCAAGAATCACTATATGGTCATCTTGAGCAACTCCTAGATTTGTCAGTTTGTCAGCAACCTTGTTACCCTCACTCATTGTGTGTCCTAGAGAGCGATTACATCTGTTGAGAGAAACTTTGCATCCTCAACGAGAGCTTTAAAGGGAGAGTTGTGGGTTGTTCAAACATGTTAGATTGATTAAAATAAAGAACCTTACTCTGTTCAAACTAATGAGGTGGAGTTGACTTTAATAATTACATACAGCGGACGGACGAAGCTAACAGGGGACAAGTGGCCCATGATCCTCTTTATGGTTGCCCATGAGGTGGAGTTGACTTTGTTATTAATTTTTTTAACTCTTGTGGTTTAGGCCATCAATAATTCGGTTTAAATTGACAGAATTTGTGCTACACACATTAAATTTAGAGTTGATATGGAAAAGATAAATTCATATGTTAAAATACATTTTAAGAGTTAAAATTACCTTTAATTTTATCTTCTTTCCTAAAAATCTTAAGTCCCGTTTATTTTCAAGGGTAGAATGAAAGGGATTCATAGTGAGGAAATTGATATTGAAGGAATTAAGTAAAATTGTATTTATTTTGATGACAATTGTTGGTGTGGGGATTGTTAAATTATTTTTATATAAAATAATAAAACAAATAAAATAGGGGTATTTTTTTTCAGGTCCCTGATATTAAGATTTTACAGTATAAAGGACATCAAATATTCTCATAATGTCTAAGGTCCCTCAACAATATTTTCATAATGTTTAAGGTCCCTCAACCTTGATCCAGAGAAATTTCAGTCCAGAGAAATTCTGGCCCAGAGAAATTTTAAATTTCTCTGACCCAAATATTTCTCTGGAAAGTCTTAGAATTTCTCTGGTCCAATTATTCTCAGAATTTCTCTGATTTGAGGAAGGAAGGGAAAATAAACGATCATAACAGTAAACTCACATCCAATATAAGGGTATTTGAAAACTGAGCATACACAAAATTATTGCATTGAGTAAAATCAAGAAACAAAATTCAGTTCTTTTGAAATTTCTCTGAGTTGAGAATTTCTCTGGACCAAGGAAGAATTTCTCTAGACTCACTTTAACTCAGAAATTTTTTTTGAAAGCCAGAGAAATTTTCCTTACCGGCCCAGAAAAATTCACTCAAATCAGAGAAATTCCCCATCTCCAAATCACTCAACCCAGAGAAATTCACAACTCAAAAATTTCTCTGGTCCAAAACCAGAGCAATTCTCTCCAAACCAGACAAACCAGAGAAATTCTCTCTATTTACAGTAAAGTTGTATTTTTATGAACAGAACTTGGTGATTGTATATTGATCTAGGAAATTTCTCTGACTTCACAAATTTCTCTGGCTCTATTACAAAGAATTTCTCTGACTTATTGAGGGAGACGACGGAACTGCTCACAGTCCTTTGACCCATTTTTGTTGAAGTCTGTAACTAGACTATTCATCATTCTAGCTATTGCTTCCTTGAATTCACTAGGTTGGTTCCTTTCTACCTTATTATTAGTATCTTCGACGACTTATTTGACCACAGACCCAACTTCAGCACCCTCCATATAAGCTTTACATGCTGACAGAATGTCATGTGCTTGAAGAAGAAAATGGCCAACAATCCAGAGGCCGACACGTGTATGATTTCGGAGACGTTTGATTCGTCCCACCTGCCTTCTCTCAACTCCGATCTGATCTGGTTAATGTACTCGTCGACCCATTTTGGCATTTCGGATCTGGGCATGTCGAAGTACCGTTCTGGGGACGAGGAGGAAGAAGACGATGAATTGAGGTAGCCAGTCAATACAGCTCGTTTTTCATACTCATAATCAATATACACAGTATTTCTCTGAGATTGGGGGAGTTTGGAGAGGATTCGGAGGAGAAGCTACATGGTTGAGAGCTTCCTTGTTCCTGAGCCAGAGTTGAGACCAGCTCAGAGATTTCTCTGGTGAGCCAGAATTGGATCCCGATCTCACCGATAAATGATTCGAACAAGGAGAATCTTCATCTGGTCAACGCCGCTCCGGCGAAGATCGAGTCGATCGATGTGTCCCTAGCGGAAGAGCTGAGTGCAATCTGCCAGAAGATCGAACGCCTGAGATGAGATTGGACAGAGAGATGACGGAGAAGATGCCGAGAGAGAGGCATTTGGTGATGGAGACGAATTTGAAGGAGATGGTGAAGAGAGGTGAGGTCCAAAAGCTGCTTGAGATCGAGGTCGATAGGTTGTTTCGGGTAGAGAAATGTTTAGGGACCTCAGATATCAAAAAATAATTTTATGGATCACTTCCATTATAAAAAGTGGGAGAGGGACCCTAGACCGATTTTCCCAATAAAATAATACAAAAACATTAAACATTAATATTCCAAAAAAAAAAAATGCCCAACATTTAAAAAATAAAAAATAAATAAAAAATTTCCAAAAAAATAAAACAAATAAAACAATGATTTTTACTTAACAAAAAATATAAAAAATTAAACATTAATGTTTTATAAAAAATGCCCAACATGTAAAAAAAAAAATAATCTGGCGAACTATTTTTTTAATACCAAGTGCTAGAAGCCCATTCGAATCCCCTCCCCAAGAGGATTCATAATCCGGAGCGTATTACGAATCCTCTTTATATCTCCCAAAACAAACACAAATATAGTGGGTCACACCTTATTATCAATCTCAATCCCCTCTCCACAACTCC